CGCTGGATCTGTGCGGAGCGTGTGCCAGTCTGTGTTTGCAGCGCAGACAGAGCGAGAGAGAGAAACTGAGCTGAACCGGAGAAGGAGAGCCCAAAAAGAAAAACGGAGGGGAAAAAAAAAAATCAAAATCCTGACAGCAGCTACTGGGAGTTCAAAAGCTCCCTCTCTCTTCCTCTGCTGCCGGTTCCTCTCCTTCCCTCCCTCTTTGCTATGAATTCCTCCTCTCTCTACACCCCCCCACATTTACCTCTCCTCACTGTCTGAGTCTTTATGTCTTCTCTTGGTTTCTGCTGCGCCCACAGGATGGATCTGTAACCTGTAACCTTCAGGCATACAGGAAAAAATATGCACCTAAAAGACGAGGAGAAAACTTCGCCCTCGCAGAGCTGAGGAGTTGTTTTCACAAATCTCCTGGTTAGACTTTGTTTTGTTTTTATTTCATCTTGTGTGTGTGTGTGTGTGTGTGTGTGTGTGTGTGTGTGTGTGTGTGTGTGTGTGTGTGTGTGCGTGTGCGTGGGGAGTGGGAGGAAACATCTGAATAAAACAGTGTGCTGTAGCTCACATTAACAGATGTTTTCACATGCAGCAACACCTCAGAAGACAGAGTCAGCGTGAAGCACAGCAGCCAGCTAATGGTGTCATCTCTGCGAAGCTGAACACACTGTCATCTGCTGAGCGTCACAGGAGGGTGGGGGGGGGGGGGCTACAAACAAGGAGAGAGTGATGAGGAAAATATGCTCATAGAAGTCGAGCGGCATGGGATGTCAGAGCATTTTGSAGAAAAGCTCTGAGAGGTCACAGCAGAACATTCTTTGACGTGTCTGAACAGAAAAAGAAAGGGATCTGAATGAACACCGCCGGGTTCTGCGGGGGGGAAAATAAATAAAAAATCCGACAGCTGACTCATACTCTGCTTAAAAAAAAAAAAAACAGATCTCCTGGACGTGTGTCAGTCCTTGGAGAACAATAACAGAGCGGGGGTTTTGCTCCAGCACACACCAGCCACTGTGACACGCACGACACCAGCGGCCCGCCGACTCAAGCCYGCCGGCCACCCACGTTCCGGTTTCCCCAGGGCGCTCCACAGACAAGTGTGTCGAGGCTGCTTTATCCACAGGGGTCTGCCCCTGGGGGGTAGGGGGGGGGCTGGAGGAAACAAAACAGCATCACAGTGTCCTTGATGTCCAGATGCAGGAACATATTTAGAGTTTATTTTCAATAAACCACCCACAACATCCTGACAGATTTATTTTAGGCAAAACTTCTGACCGTTTAGGAGCAGGTCTCTGTCGACAGGTTATGAACTATAAATATCTTATCTGTTGTAGATAGATAGCTGTAGCTTACCTCCACCAAAAGCGCTTTGGGGTCCATGTGGACTTCATAAAGCACTGTATAAGTTCAAGCCATTTTACACACTAGATTCATGCAAACACTATTTTATAAATCATTACATCAGTTCGTTTTGCATTACATGGCTTAGATATTAAAAAACAGCAAACAGAACAGAATTTCAGGAGATTCCACTATTTTTTAGGCGTGGAAATATACCCTATGCAACTAAAATATAATTATTTTATTATAAAGATGTGCTTTGTTCTTCTTCTTATTTCACTAAAAGTGAGAAAAATAAAAAAATAAAAGGTTGAACATTCCCAGGTCAGATCATGAGCACCAGTTAAGATATAAACTATTTGATTAAGTCTGGATGCAGAAACTAGATCACAGGGCTTAAAATTCTCTCAAAACTGCACAATGTTTCTTGGCGAAGACAAACTGCAGTATAAAAKGACACATTTACCACAAACCAAAGTTACCCAACTCTGCAAATCATATCTGTTCTAAAGTCTTAGTCCTTTATTAAAAGTATAGATCAGTCCAGTCTGTGCAACGGCTCCAGGTCTAATATTAGGCAGGTGTCCAGAAGAGGTGGGGCACAACCGTGTGTAAAAAGCAAACTGAAGTATTGAGATGTGAAACCCAAGTCAGGGTGTGGGAATATTCTCAAGGTCGTATGATGTCATCCAAAAAAAATTGATATTCTTTCATAAACTTAGGTGTTGTTTCTTTACTGATTGATGCAAAGACGTAATACCTGAAAGCCAAAGC